TCTAACTTCTCTCATCTCTCCCAGAGCACTGTTGAAAGTTAAGGTCGCTTACATACCAAAAGAGTCATTGAATTATACTCCCTTCCCTTTCTATCTATTCTCAAGGTCAGTTCTATTCCCTCACAAAGAGCCAGGTAGAATATTATTATTCAGAAACCTACTCATTCTCAGTAACTATGAGGCCACAAGTTTCTTCAGAGTGTATGCAATGGGATCCATTGTCATGTATGAAGACAGTGGTGCACTGCTAAATTTTTTTTAACTTATTCTAAATATGGGGGAAAAAACTCTAACAACAATTTGTAAGAATTCACAACACCATCCTAACTTGGTCTGCATGATAAACGGTCAGAGTTCATTTACTAGTACAGGTCTCCCAGGGGAAGAACAAAAATTCCACAGAATGACGCCATTAACAGTGATGCTATCAGTTATGTAATGATATCCCACGTGCTGTTATGTTAAGTGTATAATTTGATGAGCTTTATTAAAAATGGAAACCTATGCAACCACAACACCAATCCAGATATACATATTTTTATGACCTTAGAAATTAATTTAGAATATGCAGAGCTAGTCTGAAAGATGAAAAGTGCTGCAGAGTATTGAGTTCAGTCAAAAAGTGCATTTAGCTCTAGCTGGTTTGGCTCAGTGGATAGAGCATCGGCCTGTGGACTGAAGGGTTCCAAGTTTGATTCCAGTCTGAGTTGCTGGCTTGAGCCCCAATAGGGGGCGTGCAGGAGGCAGCCGATCAGTGATTCTCTCTCATCATTGATGTTTCTATCTCTCTCTCCCTCTCCCATCCTCTCTGAAATCAATAAATATTTTTTTAAAGTGCCTTAATTGAGGTTTAAGAATATGTCTCAGAAATGCTCTCAATAGACAATTAAAATTATAAAATCTTAAAGGGTTGTCTCTCAGCTATTTCAAGTTAAGAAGGACTTACCTTGAAGATATGTGTGGGTATGGCTTTTGTCTGATAGAGTGAATTCCTATATGGCTTTTGTCTGATAGAGTGAATTCCTGATAAGGTTGAGAGATCCCAAAATAATTTAAGTAAATTAGATTTAGAGAAACATGCTGTACTTTAGACTTAAGTGGAAAAAGAAGGTACAAAATCAAAAAAGGCCTTTGGAATATGTCTACGAGCACAAATAAGGATGAGAAAACTATCAGCTGTAATCATGTGCTAAGTTTACATGAAAATAAAGAATGACTAGGAGGGTAGAACCTTGAGTACAGAGGGAGGAATTAAAAGCCATGGAGAATTATTCTCAGGCTTTAAGTCCTAATCAAGAAACTGCTAACCTATGAATTAATTCAGTCTTCAAATGAAGGACTGTACTTGAGTCATTGTACTTAAGCCTCATCTACATCTGCACATGATTTACATGGTAAAATTCTGTACTTTCAGCTGATGCTGTAATGCAAAGGTGGGGACTATCCAGCCATGGGCCATATAAGGCCCAAGAAATCATTTGGTCTGGCCCTGCCAAGGCATTGGGGGTGAGTTAATTAAATGTCTGACCAAATATAGCAGGCTAATTTTTAAGTTGATCATTTTGTATGTCCCATGAATGATGATGATGATGATGATATATATATTCTCCAAATGTCCCTTGCAGAAAAAAGTTTCCCCACCCCTGTGAATGGAATGGTTCTTTGGGTGGCATTAGGAGAGGGTAAGTATACTTTGCATTGTGAGAGATGCATCATTGGGGGCCAGAGAGTAGAATGTGGAAGCCAGCTTCCAGATGTTCTACAATGTTCCTCACCTCCTGGTAGCCAAATCTCTGTAAAGTGTCTCCCCTCCTGAATCAAGGTTGCTGTTGTCACCAATAAATAAATTTTACAAAAGTGATGTTATGTTACTTCTGAGACTAGGTTATAAAAGAACAGCACAAACTAAAAGGAAACAAGATAACAGAAACTAGCTCTGTACAGTAGATATCCTCTTCTTTTATAGATAATGGAATCACGTTTAAAAACATTAACAAAAGAAGAAAAAAATGTCTCTTCTGCTGTAGTCACTTCTTTTATCATGAATAGTAAAGAATAAAGTAACAGTAGAATTTCTGTGGGACCAAAGTCAGTTCGTTTTTGTTATTGTTTGTTTTTAAATAAAGGAGCTGATGTTTGGGGTTGTTGGGAATACTTCTATGCATTTTAATAATAGCAACTGATCTTCAAAGAAGGGGAAGGGAAAAATTAGGAGTATGAGATTCCATTCAGATTATTCACATTTGACTCACCTTAAAATTAAAATCTGAGATGTCACCTGAGCTCCATTAGGAAAAATTTCCAATAAGAGCATTTTCTAGCAGGATATATTAAACTCATTAATCACATGTTTATCTTAAAAATCAAATAACTGAGTTCTTCAGTTAAAAAATAATCTGTATACAAAAGTCAGACTACTATGGATCATAAAAAATAAGTTCATCGTCCATGGTCACAGACAACACTGTGGTAAAAACCAGGTGAGGGGTGGATGCAGAACTGAGAGGAGCCGGGCTAAGGGAGGGGGAAACGGAGAGGGGACATCGGTAATAGTGTCAGCAATAAAAATAAATTTAAAAATATAAGTTCAAAAACTAGGAATAAACATTATTGTTCTATATTAAAAAGTATTGTTAATTTAAAATGGATAGTTGGTATTAAACTCAAACATAGTAATGAAATGTGAATTGCCATTTGAAAATTCCTGGTTTAAATAAAAAAAAACATTTCAATAAACCATTTCCTTTAAAGACATCTATTATGAATATCTTATTACTACAACACTTGACTATGCTGACCACAATATTTCTTTTCTTGTTGACCATAAAGAATTTAAGACTCCCTGCTCTCTGAAGAGGCTTAATAAATAGATGTAATTATTGCTCATTGTACATCAGCTTTAAAAATCAATTCTCTTCAGTTTCTTCAAACACTTTTTCATGAAGAATAACAGACAAGTATAAAATGGATAAAAGTATAAAAGCAACCTCAATATATTCTGAACATTGACTTTATGGTGAATATCACTAAATAGCTTTAAACTATAAAATTAAGTACCCTAAGAAAGCCTCGTGACTCTCCCAGATGCCAACTCTTCTACTACCCTTTACTTGCATGAATTTTCTAAATTAAAATATGTGACCAAAGAGAGAAGAAGCTGAATAGTTGAATGTTACTGACTTTGAGATTAATATCTTTTAATACAACCGCCATTATTAAGTTTGCCTTGTTCAAAGAGGTTCAGACTATACGTTAAGCCAAATGTCAGAGATTCCACAAGTGCAGCAAATGCTTATGTTGTCAATACAAAAACAATATTCATTCAGAGAGCAGTGTGTTGGTAAATATTTTACAAAACGCTCACCAAAAATTAAAAGCACTAATTTACAGTTTTTGCCGACTTCTGTGGTATAATACTCCTATTTGGCTGATTTCATGCTACCAAAATGACCTAAATGAATCTACAATTGGGAAATATGCACCATAGCTATTATATAGGATTTCTACAAATAAATCCAATAGATATAAATAAGCTCACAAGTATAGTTAACAGTAAAATTTAGTACAATAACTAGAAAATGAATTTTGATTATGCTGTTAAAAATATAATTTTTTTGTTATACATGTAGTTAATTTAATTTTTTATGCTTGTGCTTAACCGCCAGCTCTTAAACTTCCTGAAAGGCTAACAGCGATCCAGTATCAGCACAGCATTCCTACATACTAGTGCATATATTGTAAGACCACCCCGCTACATAGTCACAGGTATGGGACATAGAGATTTCCAATTTTTGCTTCAAGGGCTGAAAAGAACACATGACTGAATGTCCTCAATAATCTGTGGAAATCATTTCCATTAAATATCCTTCTCTCTTCCTGATTCCATTCTGGCCTCTAGTGGTAGCTGCTAGCATTCTTACTATTATCAGTGTTAGAAAAGCAATTATCAATGATCATCATTGTAAAGTTAACCACAATATGATTAATTTCTCTTTTCAAACTATTTATTAGTACTTCCTATCAATAAAGAGAAACAAGTGAACGATCATGGGATATAACAAAAATCCACTGAATTTGAAGTCAGAAATCTCAGACTGTTGTCTTGAATTTGAATGTATATATTTAAAAAAATCCCTGAAAGAAAATAATTGGGGTAATTATAAAAATAAAACCATAAGACACTTGAATCTAAAGAATAGCTGACTCCTGGACAGAAAGGGGAAAGAGTGCATTATGCATTTTCCTGAGCAGCTTATCATCTAAATGAGCATAGGCTGTGGGAAGGCAACTATATTCAACAGGATAAAATCAAAGATTCAGATTACATTTTACCAGACTGATTTTTATTGCAACTAAATGACTAAATTGTCATTGCTATACTAGAGGCCTGGTGCACGAATTAGTGCACGGGTGGGGTACAGCCAGCCTGCCCTGATGGGGGCTGATCCAGCCAAGCCAGCAGGGGGAAGGGGCCACAGGCGGTTGGCCACTGGCCCAGACCCCAATCGGGGTGGGGGGGCTTATCAGGGGCTGGGCCGGCTGGGGGAGGGGCTGCAGGAGGTTGGCCAGCTGGCGCCACCCCTGATCCGGCCAGGGCACCTGGGGGAGGGGCCACCCCCTGATCAGACCAGTTGGTGGGCCTCAGTGTGTGTCAAAGTGACCGGTCGTTCTGGCGTTCCGGTCGCTTGGCTTTTATATATATAGATAAATAAAGCCTCAGTATGTTTAAAGTGAAATTCATTTAATGTGTCTCATTAGCTTTATCATAGCATATAAGCATAGCAGCTGATGCCTATTTCTCTTTACTTGGTATCAATTACTTTTTTAAATTCCTTCACAGAATAATAAAATTTTAGAGCTGATGAGTATGTCTAGAGCAGAACTTCAAACACTTAATCCCTGCCCTGTGTAATGCAGTTAATTTGTGACAGAAGTGGGGACTAACCAGGTCAGTCTGTATACTAGCACCAAAAGACATTACTCTTAGAGTAAACCATTACCTCTTGAAGAACTCTCTTCATCTTTAACAATAGTGTCTTGACAGCTGTGCAGTCCTGTAACATCAGTCTGAAGGGCAGAGAATCTATGCCTCCATTTTCTTCCACACCTTGCAGGGGCCAGTCTGCAGACGGACTACTGGGCATTCGGCTAATATGTGAACACCTGCCTTCCTGATCAATGTCTTTTGTTAACTTCAGTGAAAGGTTCCTAATAAGAAAAATAATAAACAACAATTACAATGTAGCATATTCACAGCAGTATTTTCCAAGTTGTCCATCAATGTCAACAGTGAGCCAGAAAATATTTCCTTGTGACCCTCACATGCCCTATTAGTCTTTGAGAATTCTGAGACTTTTTGTGAAAATTATGAAATGAGCCAATTGAATATTTAGTGGTGTGAGAGTGAATAAAGGAAATCTCTTTTTTAATTAAGTTAGGGAGGCCAGAAGGAGGCTCTCTCACATACTACCACTCCATGTCAATTGCACACCTCAACAGGAAGAAGCCTCAATTACAGACCCCTACAGGAAGAAAGGTACATTGCATTCCCATCAAGAAGTGTCTCAACTACTGCAGCAGCAGGAAGGAAGAGTTCTCCAGGCCCAGCCACAAGCCCAGGGGGCGGGGAACCTCACAAATCAGCCAACTGGAAACCATTACCTCCCTGAACTCTCACTTTCTTCCATTGAAAGCACCCCCTCTGAGTTTCCTTCTTTTTCTTTATAATGTCCCTCTCCTTTTCTGCTGGATTACCTGTATATTTTGCTAGAGAATGCTTGCCCCAAATTGCAATTCTGTTTTCCTGAATAAGCCCATTTTTTTTTGTTGGTAAAATAACTGGCTGTTCTATTTTTAAGGTCAATAATGGTAAGATTCAATGACAATCACCATTATAAAAAGTGATTTTCCCCCCAGGTTAGAATTTCATTCTAACAGTGTGTTTATACTTGTTAAACTCTTTTAAAAATATGGAAAGTCAACAGAAATTGCTGAAAGAGAAATTTCTTACAAAGGTGTTCTGAAAAAATTTTAAAAATTAATTGGAAAGTTAATCCAATACATTTTTTATATATTATTTATCAAATTATATGACAAACTTAGTTACCTAAATTGAAAAAAAAAATAACAACAAAACTTGCCTTGGAACTTGCCACCAAGGTCAGGCAAGGGTGCAAATAAGAAACTATATCCTCAGCTAATTTTATTCAAATTTCATTATTTATAAATAGTGTAATTTAATTTATAAAGTATTGAATAGTTAGTAAAGAAAAACACACTTTTGGATCACACTAAAATGTTTACTTGTCTTCATAGGTACATTCATTGGTTACAATAATATTACTATTCCCATTATCTATCGAACTATAAAAGCCTAAGTGACCATTACAACCAAACAACCGGTCGCTATGACATGCACTGACCACGCTCAACGCAGGAGCTGCCCCCTGGTGGTCAGTGCGCTCCCACAGCCAACCTCCTGTGGCTGGCCAAACTCCCGTGGCCTTCCCCACCAGCCAGCCAACCTCCCGCTGTCCCACCCCGAGCCAGTCGGCCAACCTCCCGTGATCCCTCCCCCTGGCAGATCACGAACCAGGCCGAGGGACCCCACCTGTGCACAAATTCATGCACCGGGCCTCTAGTCCTATATAATAAAAGGCTAATATGCAAATTGTCCCTACAGGCGGGAGTTCGACTGACCGGGAGTTAGACATACACTGACCACCAGGGTGCAGCGCAGAACATGACAGGCACTGGTGATGCAGTGCTAACAGCCAGCAGCAGTGGAGGTGCTGCCAGCCACAATGGGCCCTGATGACAGCGGGACTGTGGCGGGCCAAGGCGGGTGTGAAGGGAGGCCCCTGCCGGGGGCAAATTTTGTGCACTGGGCCTCCAGTATATATATAATGAAATAGTTTTTTTTAAAGTCATAGCTAACATTTTTTGATAGCTGACTGTGGGCCAAGTATTGTGCTATCCATTTCATGTGTGTTAATTCAATAAAGCCCAAGAGGTAGATAAAATGAACATTTTCACTTTACATATGAGGAAACTAAGGCTCACATAAATAACTTTGCTCAGAGCTAAAGAGCTACTAGCAGATAGACCTGAATGACCCAACATAAGCACTCTTGCACGATAAGATTTTTTTTCATACTAACCACATAATGTGCTAATATATACAGGGTATCCCCCCAAAATAGTACACACACTTTAACAGCTGATTGCTCAATTTTGAAAATGAAATGTATTTTAATAAGCATTGCATTTCTAATTATTCAAAGTGTGTATATACATTTTGGGGGGACACCCTATATATAATAATACTTAATGTATCTCAGTTTTGTAAGGACTTTATATATGTTAAACCACTTAATACTTATAGCAACCTTTTGAGGCAGATAATATTATAATCCCCATTTCATAGTTGAAGGATTTAAGTCTCAGAGAGGTTAAGCAACATACTGATGGTCACACAGCATAAAAGGGACAGAGCTGAGATCTGAATGCAGGCAGTTCACTCGAACTCTAAATTACTACATAATTCTGCATCTCATGTGAAAAAAGCAAGCAAATAAAGAAAAACAAAAATGAAAAAACAAAAACATGCCTATAATCATAAAAAGAATTTTTATATTTTTTCACTCTTAAACTATATTTTATCTGATATATCTGATTCATTTCAATTATACACAATCATTCTTAAATATCTGTATTTTATTTTAGTGTCTTCCATACTATTTTCTTTAAGACCAATAAGAAGAATATAAAAATTAGAAGTCACATTATGTGTAATAATATTTTAGTTACAATAGAATTATCAAAAATTTATGAGGTTTACATCATGAACTAGTCTGGTATCTGAAACGTATTATGCTGACTCAGTAAATAATTGTACATTGAAGATGAATAAACAAATACAATAATGAGTGACTGAATAAAACACAATTCTTTGTAATAATCTATACATACAACTCTCATTTGTACATATAATTTTTTTTCTGTAAGGTGAACTGTTATGTATTATAGAACTGCATCCCATAGTTCAAAATGTCCCACCATCTTACAAAAGAATAGTTAACATGTTATGATTTCTTTTAGTTGGATCGATGTTTCTTTGAAACTTTGTCCAATCGTGAATCTAAATATCAGTGAAGACTGACAAAGCTTTCAGAAACTGTACTAGCTGACTAGTTTCAGGAATTTACTGAGGTTTTGAGAATTAAAATTTAGCATTTACAAATCTAAAGTTCTCTGCCAATGTCAGTTAAGAATGGGCTACATATAGCAATGTATTCAGGCAATAAAATTTGCCATTTGTTTTGCACTTAAAAATTTTAGATCTATTCTTAATTCCAACAGGACAGAATGATGGCATATTTTCAAAATGATGGACAACATCTACATTGTGTCCTTATATCCAGCATGGCAACAGTCGTTGAAGTTTCAGGGATTAATAGGAATGGCTCACTGAACTCCAGAGGTACACCAGAATTATTAATTTCTTATCAGTTGATACCAAAAAATATAACAAATAATATTCTTTCACATGAATTTTTTTTTTATCTCAAAACATTTTATTTCTACATGAAAAAGAATTGGCAACAAGATCACAGTAATCTAATCCATTCTTATTTAGGCTGAGGCAGTAAACTGGGCTGTTAAACAGGGCTGCTATTGAGTTGCATTGGCCAACAGGGCCATCCTATTCTTTGTATCGTCAGTATTTTCTGATTGATTAATGCCTGGGGTTTACAGTTGTTAAATATTTTGAACATTGATGTTTTTAAAAATAGATTTTTATTGGGCCAAATTACCCAAGTGTCTCTGGATAAATTCACCTAAAAAAAAACCACAAAAAAACAACAACAAAAAAAGAAACTAAAAAAAAGGTCCAGCCCTTTAGTTGACAGGAAAAGGAGAAACCTATTTCATGTGGAGCCATGGTTTCCTCTAGCAGAGACAACCCTTATAAGCTCAGAGGGTAGAGCTAGGTTCAGGTGCGTTCCTGCTCCTGTTTAGCAGAATTCACCAGATAATACATTTATACACTTTGGGATATATGGCTCTCTCTGCCAATTCTCTGAATTGGTACAGTTTCAGGAAACTGAACAAATGTTCTTTATGTTAAAAAAGAGAGTCCCTTATCTTGGCAAAAAAAAAAAAAAAAAAAAGAAAAGAAAAAGTAAGATACTGAGGCCTAAAACAGTGGTTCATTAATCATCATAACTACTGCAAATAAAAACAATGTAATTGCCACTGAGCTCATTTATATACAGTTCACCCTCTGTTTTAACTCCATGAATCTTCGGTAGAATTGTTCAGTGATATTTACACTTGTTTCCTTGCTTATGATGCTGACCAAGTCTTTAAAATTCTGTAACATTTAGATAACGTCAAATTGAGACTTATGGGTCTTTCTCAGTCCGTAAGTACAAAATGACAAAAGTTTTGAGTAAGATTAAAAGCAAAACTCATAAACATTACATTAAATGTATTCTTGAAAGTTTCGACTTGGAGAAACTTGAGAATTTGAGCCATAAAACATCTAAATTACATGACTATGGTGAATTGGCTCTATACTTTTGTCACTATCCTTTGTGTGAAGGGAATTTTCTACCAAGCTATTTCTAAAAGTTCTGCTGCAATTCTATTTTTCAGACAAGTAAATAATTGTATATTGAAGTTGAATAAACAGTCAAGTTTACATAGAGTGATTAATAGGAAAGAATATAAAAGAGAATTTTCATATTTTTCCTCATTTGGTTATTGATATCACTATCATTTTAATAGTGAGAAATTTTTCCCGTTCACATGTTCTCTTCAAATCACTTGAGAAATTCCCAATACAATGGCCAAAATACAAGATCATGCTAGTTGCAAAGGATTGATGCTCTTACCTATCATAGGAACTACTATTGTTTAGTGCACTGACACGTTTCATTATAATAAAAGGGATGACCAAAAGGGATCTCAAAGATTTGCACCTTATAATGTGGCTATGATTTCTGAACCAGATTTCCAAGGGGTGGAAAGTGAAGGTAATCTCATTTTTCCCAGCATAAGAAATAAGCATATGTGTACACCTGCCTTCAAACATGTCATTAAGTAGATTTTTGAAAAGGGCCAGGTTAGTTATGGTAAATTAAATCTCAGCTTGAATAATTCTAAGACAAGCGCAAGGTATAAATCGGTATTAATAAACTGAC